AGTTTGAAGCTGAAGGATCTTTAGGTAAATATCTCATAAGGCTCATACAAGCTAGGTCCTTTAACTTTTGGTAGCCGTTGAAAGGATACAGTTGTGGTATACCAGTGTTCAGAAACACCATTATTACTTTAGTGTTACTTTAACACAAAATCTGGGTTGACCCGGGACAGCTGCTATGAGTCACACTATGCAGGCCTTTTCACATCGGACGCATGTGCTGTGCTCGCCGCTAACTAAGAGCAAAGGATCCAGAATCTGTTGCGCTGGCTGCTGAGCTCTGCTTGTATATCGTTTAGTAGCGGCTGCTCTACGTGTACTAGATCCACCTGATCCTTGTCGTTTCAAAACATGTATCTCTCTGATTTTATCTCCTCTCACGGTTAAGCGATAAGAGACGTGAAAGGGCATTTATTCTTCCATGACCTACAGCTCAAAAGAGCGCCCCTTTGACAGCCAAACCCATCTATTCTCTGATTGGATATTTAAATTTGTGATTGACATGACATTGACCAATCAGCTGAAAGGAAGACAAATTGGGTCAAAATTTGTACTTGTAAGTTGAAACTTGAGTGCAGAAGTTCCTCAGTGTGGCCTGCTCCAGCGACTGACTTCAGACTGATGTTAAATGTCCTGCAGGCTCCAAATGCTCAGCGTGTTACCGGCACGGCTCTTCCACGATGACTTTTGTGGCTCATAAATGTTGGTTGTACTTGTATATTTCTTCTTAATGCATTTGTTGTGCTGTGTGTGAGATTGTGTCTCTCAAGGGTCATATTATACTGGGTAGATTCATGAAATGAATTGAATTACCTAAGCTACATGCATGACTCCATCATATTCCTCCTTCATCGTGCAAAATGAAAAATATGGTTTTATAAATAGCTTTGTGTGCACAAACTGGTTCCAGCTCTGCAGTGTAAACGGTGCTTTTCATTGGTGGTAATGTGATGTAAATGTATTCAGCTGCTGGAGGGTTTTCATGGAGAATTAAACCTGAGGACTCCAAAATTAGAGGAACCCCTCTGAACGCTGCGCTGCTGCGTCTTCATTTACATTTCGATCTGCGACCTCTGAATCATCGTAGCAGTGACTGAGCTTTTTCTCTTGTTGCCACACAAACGTTCGCTCTACTGTCAGCACGGTAACACATTAACCGCCTTTACACTCGCAGCCTCTGCGTGTGTTTACATGCAGTTTAGCCGGGCTGCACGCATGCATCAGGATCACCGAGGTCAGACGGCCAGAGTCTGACGTCAAAGCATGTTCAGATGAGACACGACAGGTGAATCGGGAGAAGATTGACAAAGATGTCAGCCTGACACGCTCTCAGCTGGTTATGAGCTAAAGAAACAGTTAAATGTGTAAAATGTGCCTTTGCATCACTGCTGGAACATTTTCAGCAGCTCAGCTGGTAACGTTTGCAGAAAGTGCAGTTTAACCCTGTAACACCTACCGTAGAACCAAGTCCGCTAGAGCTTATCTTTATATTTTTACATGCTGTGGTGCCATTTGTGGGAGCATTTCAAGTTGCTATACATCAATATAACTGTTATAGCCCAAATTATAATAATATGTATGCATTAAGTGCATAGTAACTACATAAATTGATTAAAAAAAAGTGCAATAAACTACAAAAAAATTGAAAATCGTTTTTGTTTTGTTTTTTCCATATATTGCTAGTTAGAGATTTTTCAGCGGTTTATCCCTCAAAACTGTAAATACAAAAAAGTTGCACAAAATAGTTTCCAACCACGAGAAATTTATTTTGAGTGTCTTCATAGTTTTATTGTTGAGATACACCAATTATATACTGCAGGAAAAACTAAAATAAGTATTATAATGCAAATTTGCAAAAAAACAAACAAACAGCATGTGCATCAAAATAAACTATTTCCAGCAGTGTGATTCAAGTTCTAAGCATCCCAGAAACGACACAGAAAGTTATAAAGTCAAACATGACTTTTAAGGACACCAGTATAGGCTTATAAGGGCCTTGAAGGTAAAAAACTACATTTTCCGCTGACTGGCTTTAAAGGGTTAAAACCTGTCTGTCCTTTCAGTGATGAGTCAAAGTCTGCTTTAAATCAGGACACACTCTGAGAAGAGTCCAGTTCAGAGTTTTTAGTAATGAAACGAGTATAAGACACTCCTGGGGACTGGTTTCCTGGTCCAATGAGAGCTGTGGGAGTACCATGGGGGAACAACAAGTCATTTACTGTGAAAATAAATAAATAACAGATTCTTATTTTTTTTAAAAACCCTAATGAAATAAGACATCTTAAACAGACAGGCTTGGCTGGACAGACGAACTCAGAGGACAAAGTAAAGCTGTTAATGGAGAATCCGGCCAAACGAGCAGGAAGATACACGAAGCTTAATCCTTCATCTTAGACCAGTGCGATGATCGGAGCAGTTAAAGGTTCACAGATTTTTAACTTGGCTGTCCGCGGCGGCGGAGTCCAAACTTCATATGAACATCGGCACGTGGACTGATTCCCTTTATACAACAGACGCCCTGCTGTCAATGCCAAAGTGCTTTTGAACATTCACTCTGATGGCTGCGTCGGAGAGCAAACTGGGGTTCGGCGTTGGGCGTTCAGGGATCAAACCCCCAACCTTCCAGCTATTAGATGAGCTGCTCTGCCTCCTGACCCACAGACCTGAAGAATCGAGCCTTGTTTCCCCGTTAGCCTGGTCACCACGGCAGGCATGTCCCACTGACAGCTGACAGGCCAGACATTCAGGTCGAGGTTATCGAGAGCCCTCAAAGGGCGTTGGATGGGATAAATGCTCGCACACCTGGAGGGTCAGTGCTCATTTGCACGTATGAGCTCTAGAACTGCCACAGTGTAGGATGGGCCATCAGAGGAACCGTAGCTTTAATGAGCCAGTGTCCGTTTCACTGCGTGCGCGTGGACCTGTGCGGCTGAACCTCTGAGACAAACATGTGGTACTGACAGGAACTGCCCCGAGGCCTCGTCCCAGGCGGACACGCCCAGAACACCCCAACCGGCTCCTTTCATTGTGAGCACCTTCAGGTTTGACCTGAGCAGTACACAAACATCACAGTGACATCAGGTCGAGTGGACGGCACAGCTGAGCAGCATTGGCTGATGATCCTCCCATGCCAGCCAATCAATAACAGCGGGGCGTGGCTTTCTTTAGTGGGAGGGTCGTAACCTCCAATAAGACATAAGTGTTATGCCTTCAGACTGACGTGAAGGTGTGGATTTGTGTGCAGTAGACAGTGAGTGCAGACTTTCCTACACTGAGTGAATCAATAATGGGAAGTGAAAGTTTCAAAGGTGGTCATTTAGGAACGTGAGGTTTCCGCGCTGCTGTGTGTGTGTTTGTTAACGTTGGTACGCCTGAAGCCCTCCTGAATAAAAATCCTTCCTCGTTCTTTTTCCTTTGTGATGTTTTCCTAAAACTGATGGATTCACAGATAAGAGTAAAAACTGCCGTCAGCTGCAGCCGTGTTGCATAATAGCAGGTCCCGTAAACCGACACGTGCTTCCATCCATTTATGTCCATTTATTATGGATGATAAGTTTTCAGCTCCTCTCCATCAGGCTGGCAGAGAGCGGGTACTCCCTGTAAACCTCCTCCTGCTATCCCTCTATGTCTCTCTACCCTCGCTCTCTCTCTCTGCTGGCTCTGTGCTGTGAAGTGAAGTGGGAGAGGAAGACGAGAGAGCAGCGTTACTGACAGGAGGAGGAAAAAGGAGAGGGAGGCGGCGGGAGTGTCTGACAGAGAGGAGAGTATTTATAGGAGGAGAGATGAGGAGTTAGAGCGACAGCGGAGGGAGAGGGAGGCAGAGGTACAAAGAGGGAGAGAGAGAGAGGGGAAAACCCAGACACAATAAGAAGAAAAGAGAGACAAAGAGGAGGAGGGCGAGCGAGGCACCATGCTGAGGAGGAAGAGGAGCGTGTCGTTCGGAGGCTTCGGATGGTAAGAGTGCTCGCCCTGAATGGCTGAATGGTCTCAGCAGCTCTGTCCGGCACACTTTCTCCGGGTTTTTGAGTTCATCTCCAGCTCGAGCTGCAAGGAATGACATCACGCTGACATCATCAGCTGTGAAGTCAAATTGTTACATTCACGTGGAGGGATTGTGAATGTTGTTTAGATCAGGCGAGGGAAGCTGAACGTTAACGAAGTTAAAATGGGACCTTTTTTGAATTGACGTTGGTGGGAAAGTTGTCGGGGCTCTGCGAGTTCGTTCTTTGTGAGCGTGAGACGCTTTTCTGTGTCGTCTGTGTTTCCAGTCGACCGACGGCGAGTTAATCAGCAACTTTCTGCGTTCGGACGAATCCAAAGGACAGTTTAGCTCTGCAGGCGTTTTCTGTCTTCTCGTCAGCTTCATTTGTTCTGCGGCACCAAAGAGGACAGCGTGCTCACACCCAGCACAGCAAACACATAATACATGTCTGTTATCAGCTATGCACCTTCATCCACACAGTGCATGAAGATGCAACATTTTCCTTCTTTAATGAGAAAATCTGATATTCGATGTCCCAGCTGCTTCTTTCTGCTTCTTCTTGTTGGTGGTTTTGTAGTTAAACTCTCAGCTGACGCGTTCCACGTCTTTGACCTCTGCGTGCGATCATCACCTGAAACAAAAAGTGGTCACTCTGAAGGAATCAGGCTTTATAGGATCCAGTTCAAAAAATGGGTCATTTCTTTCACTGAGCCCCAAATATTCACGTCATCATCAGAGGTCCTGAAGTGAGTGCATGCATGCCTCGTCTGCCCCTCTGCATGCTTCCTGGAATCGGCCAATCAGAGCAGCTTGTTTCAGAGCGGCTAAACTGATGGGCTACAAAATTCAAAGCTCCTCTGCCAGAGTCCAGAAATAACAATAAAGTCTTTTAAAAGCTGCTTATTTATTTTCTATTTCACAGTTTATACACAAATATATTCACAGCACCTCGTTACTTATTTTAGATTTAAAGAAACAGTGACTGGAAATGTAAAAGTTTCACACGGAGCATTAACCCTTTAGAGCCGGGCGGAGCACAATAATTTGTTTTGCATATGAAACCGGAGGAGTTGTACTTACATCTTATGCCATCAGCTTGTCCTCGGTCACAGTTTCCTTCCACATAAAGCTTTGCAAAACTGCATAAAAAGCACTTGCAGCAACAAAAACATAATATTCCAGAAACACGCTTTGCCGATCGATCAGCTGTTTGTAACACTTCCTACGTTGGAATAGACGTCAGCGCGAAGTTTTGCATGTCCGCCATGACCTGCCCGAAACCGGAAGTGACGTCATTTTTCGCAGAAATGTAGTTTTTTACCATCAGGGCCTCATGAGCCTATACTGGTGTTTTGTCATGTTTGACTTTATGACTTTCTGTGTCGTTTCTGGGATGCTTAGGACTCATATTGCACTGCTGGAAATAGTTTATTTTGATGCATATGCTGCTTTTTTGCAAATTTGCATTATGATATTTATTTTCGTTTTTCCTGCAGTGTATAAAAATTGGTGTATTTCAAAAATAAAACTATGAAGACACTCAAAATAAATTT